TTCCAGCATTCCCTGCCGAAGAGATGCCAAATATCATGCCAGCCCAGATTGGGTGGGAAGTGGTTTTTAGAAATGGCTACCCACAAAAGAAGTCCATTCATCAGGGATCACTTGACTCAGCTCCAACGTTGAAAAGATTCAAACGTGCACGCCTGAAAATGATTTCAGAAGGTGGGAAAATGGTCTGCAGACAAAATCCTCTGGAAATTCAAAAGTAAGTAGCCTTTCCTTCTATTCACAACTCTACTGGCCCATTCACAGAAATATTTCAAATCTAGTCTAAGGTGCCTTCTCTATACCTGACCCTGATGATGGTGGTGGTGATTATGATGTTCTCCAGTCGCAGCCAACTATGGGCCAGGTCTCTCCGTGTCTTCTGACCTTGCGCTACTCCTTTGAGTAGTTCTACGCTCTGGCTGGAGTCAGCTTTGAAGGTGTACCTGATCCTAGTCAGTAGGTTTGTTGATGTTCACCACCAAGGTGGATCCTATCTTTAAATTCCTAAAATTTCCCCGTTTCTCAAGGTCCCCGGTTTGTTCTTTAAAAAAAATAATTTGTATAATTCCTATGGGAGGGTCCATGGGAAATAAAATTTCTCGTGTGTTCCTACGGTATGTTTAGACGTTAAACTTGGAATCTAAACACCTCTCTGAAACTTCCTCCACGGGACCCTGCCTGTGTGTGGAACTGGTGCTTCGTGGTTTCATAAAACACAATTCATTTCTGGTGGAATTTGCAAAACGGATGGCTTGGTGATACGGAAGGAAGGAAGGAAGGAAGGAAGGAAGAAAGGAAGGAAGGAAGGAAGGAAGGAAGGAAGGAAGGAAGGAAGGAAGGAAGGAAGGAAGGAAGGAAGGAAGGAAGGAAGGTAGGTGATTAAGCATCACAGCTGCTCTTTTTACTCATTTATTGTTTGGATGCATTTGTTGTTTTAATGATTTTTTTTTATTGTTTTATTATTTTAGAATTGTAAGCCACCCAGAATCACTTGGTTAAGTTGGACAGCTATAGAAACTGAATGAATAAATAAAAAATTAACACCTGTCAAAAGAAAGGAAGGAAGGAAGGAAGGAAGGAAGGAAGGAAGGAAGGAAGGAAGGAAGGAAGGAAGGAAGGAAGTTCTTATCTAGGCACTAGGGTGAATTCTTCTCACAAGCCCGCAGAAGGATTTCTCCCTTCTGCTTTCACAAGCAAATGCCTGCAGCAGCGCCCAGTGGTAAACGGGTAACTTGTACAGGATTTCTTATCTCTGCAGCCTTCCTCCTTCTCTTCCCCCCCCCTTTTAACCCTTTGTCTTCTCACCGATATGAGGCAGACCCTCAAGTTGATTTGGAAACCAGAACCATAAATAAGTGAAGCTGTAAAAGAGACATTTCTGGTTGCAATCTCAACCTATTTAAGAGAGGGTAAAGCAGATGGGATTAATCCAGGATACAAATATATATAGAGAGACCTAGCATATTCTCTTCTTTTCTCTCCACTTTGAGACAGACCCTTAATCTTGAAAACAGGACTTCGAATCTCACGGTTCCTATTTTCACATCCAAATCCAGGATTATACATTTCCCCTTTCAGCCACATTCTGCACTTCTGTATCAGTGACTTAAGAACCAACACATTTTTTTTTTAAAAAAAAAAAGGTAACTCCTAGGCTAGATTAAACCCCAAACCACCCCGTGGCCATGATCGTGGTCTTTCCATCTGGACTAAACATGTGCAGTGAACACAGCTGTGATATATGTTAAGTCAGGTTTCCTGGCTGTCTGAATCCAGCAACCCTTAACCCTTGTGGGAATTACTGCACCATTAGAGGGTTAGTAGGCATCAGCACCCTGTAGTAGAGAGCTGTCCTGAAAAAAAAAGTGACTAATCTCTATAGTCTCTAAAGAGAGCCACGAAAATGAAGAAACACAAGAACAGACGAACTCTTTGACAGTTTCTCCCCCACCCCTTTTTCGGATGACTGTGCTAACAAATGTAAATTCAAATCCTAATTTAAATGGCTGAAAAGCAAAGACAGTTCTTGAGTTGAGTTGAGCTGAAGGCCCTGTTGCTTTTTGGAAAACAGTAGGGAAGTATTTTGCCATTGAGATCTTTAAAGTTCCTCCCCCCCCCACACACACACTTCTAGTTTTGAGATTTACTGGTGGCCTCCCATCCTGAAAGCACCCAACTCTTTTTTTATTTATTTATTTTTAGCCAAAGTTGGCCCCCTGCTACGGCAGTTAAATGGTCCACTAAAAGAGTTGACGCTCTACAAGATTGATACAAATAAGATGGCTTCAGAAATTAATCAGGGGAGAAATTAAAACCTGGGTTTTTTCCACCACCGCCCCCCAATCTGGTCCAGGAAGAAGGTATGGAGCACAGGCAGATTGTGTGCTGTTCTTGTGTTGTTGTGTTTTTTTTTTGTGGTGTTGTTGAGATGTTTATTATGATGCTCTCAATAGGTTTCTTTGTTTTTATTGCAGGGTCTTCTTCTACAATCTTTGTGAGTGTTAGCTGCTCAGAGACTACAGGGATGCAGGATACACTGATATAGTAAGTAAATATTTTTGGGTCTGGAGAGGAATGAAACAGACACAGAGAGTTGCGTATTTCCCCTTTGTGTTGGCTCTTGGGAGGGGCGCTCCCCCACCCCCCACCCCCAAATTTGTGGAAGATGGTAGTGTTCAGTGGCAGGATCAAGATTCAGCTGGAAGCTTCAGCTGCCAGAATGAGAGAGCAAATAGTGTCTCAGAGCATGTGCAGAGCGCCTTGACTTTTCTCACCCCATCAGTTCTCTGCTTCCCCTTGCATCCGCGTGTGCGTTAACACAGACACACACACACAAGTGTGTTCACACATTTGGGGGATTCTAGTGGCTGCAGGAGAGGAATTTTTGAAACGGGCCATTCTTCCCAACGTAGTGGGAGACAATCCGGGGAAGTCGGCCTGAAGACCCCACCCCAAAGGCCAACACAAACGAGGCCTAGTCCCGCATCTCCCCGTCCCCACGTCCTTGATACCCGAGTTACTCCTTTCCCTTCCTCAACACCCACACCTTCCCTTCCCTTTTCGTTCCTGCCTCAGATCTTAAGATTCCTGCCTCAGATCTGCTTAAGATCGCGCAGCTCTTTCCCCACCCCACCCCATCTCACCCACCAACACGCATTCACACGTGCTGCCAGAGCGTTGCCACCACACACACACCCCCC